ATGTATGTATGTATGTATGTATGTATGTATGTATGTATGTATGTATGTATGTATGTATGTATATATATATATTATTATGACCGCTTAATTTAGTCCCCATGTCAGATTTTAAATCCAACATTACCTCAGGTAACCATGCATGAAATATAAACTTTGATATCACATGCTAAACTAATAATTTTCATTTTTATTTCTAGTTATTTATTTATTTATTTATTTACTTGTTTATTTCTATCTTATTATTATATTTTCTATCTGGTTATATTATTGTAAGTTGTTGTTGTTCTGTATCAAGTTATATTTTTCGTGCATGGTTACATGAGGTCATCCCAAATTCAAATCTTTACTGGCGACCAAATGAAGACGTCACAGACAAAGCAAGTCTTGAAGTCGCACATACTGTGTAACTATGTATCGAAGGGAAATTCAAATAAAGCTTTTCCCAAATCAAGATGCTGTTCAGTAATCACACTTTCTTGCTTTAACAAGTAGAACTTTGTGAAGGAGGCTATTGTGCCTGGTTCATATGCTCCCACGACTATACAGTGCTAATGGTTTAAGTGTGTGGCAAAAGTGTCCATGGAGGAGTGAAGCCATATTTTTCTGGGTTTTCTTCCTTAATGACTAGAGCAAGGCTTGAAAAAAGTGCTGTCCAGTTGTCCAAGACAAGTAGATTTTGCTACCAACCAAGTTACTTTTCATTCTGTAAGCCATCCTCCAACTAAATAAAATAAGTGAATCAAGACTTCCCAGGACAAGCAAAATTTGAGAGCTGATTGTGAAAAGGGCAAGCTTGAATTTAGGTTTTTCCAGCCTTGTAAAGGAGTATATTTATATTTTAACAAGACTTCCTATCCTTCATCATTTTCAGTACCATGTTCAAACTGTTAATTCTCCTTTGCTGTCCTTCATTTCTCTTGATATCAGAGTTTTGAGAATTTGTTGGTAGATTAAGACAATATCTTTCAGTCGATGATGGCCGTAATTCTCATCACTGGTTTGATTGATAAGAGACTGGTACTGCAAGGGGAAACCAGTGGTTGATCACTTGGCCATCTCAGTCAGATTTGTCCAGCTGTATAAATGCCACATACTCAACAACTATTTTTTGAAAAAAATCACTGATCATCATTGCTTTCCATTTGTAATAGTTTGGAAGCGATTACGTCCACATTTAGTATTTCAGTTTTTTGCATTTCAGTTCTTTTTTATTTCGGTTTTTCTATCAAAATGATAATTAGTATATGCGCTTAAAAGGTTCAGTGTTATGACACAAGAGAAAATAAAGTTCTTTTCTTTGTTGCTATCAACTTCTCTTGGCTCATCGACGCAACCGCACACCGAGTGGACAGTAGGCGTATGATACTCTTCCCAGCTAGCTGTGCGCGCTGTCTAAAAGTCTTTCGCGCTGATCTGAAACAGCCTCCTGAGACGAACGGCCACGAGGAGGGGACGGGTCAGTCACAAGCGTTACCTGTAAAAACAAAGCGAAAAAAACAGTGTCGGTTAACTTTAATTTGGAGAGGTCGATTATTTCCGGAAGAAGGAGGGGAGAGGTCAATGGCATGCGAAAAACCGAGCGAGGGGGGTGGCGTTACAAAGTTGGTTCAAGATTTATCAGCAATGAAAAACAAACCTTATTAAAAACACCACGTCCGTAATACTCGGCCACAACAGAGAAGCCGTCAGCGGCTCTTTCCAGCTGAAATAAAATCAAGAAAAACATTAGCATATGCTACAAAATAACCATTTGAAGCCGGAGAGTGCATTACAAAAATCAGAATTCAATTTCTTCCGAGACTTTTAGTTCAAAGTTGCACGTGTTAGTCATGGGAATTGAGAATTTGATCAGCAAAGAAAACTTATTGTAACTAAACAGTTGAAATACTCGCTCACGTTTTGTACAAGCGAACAGTCAACGTAGTGGCGCATCTTGACTATTTCTCCGAGAAAATAATCGAGCCTGAAATTTGCGGAGTTTGACGAATATTTTAAGAATAAACTCGAGGCTTAGATTTTGAAGAGAATATAATTTTGCGTATGCAAAAATTTGTAAATACAATTCAATTATATGTTTTTAACTAAACCGTATAAAATTCTTTCTTTCNATGACCCTGCGATGGACTAGCATCCCATCCAGGGGGGAGTAGAAATACTCCTAGTCGCTTCATGCCACAGAAACCGGGATAAGCTCCGGCCTGATGGGCCACTTGGCTCACATGCAGACTTCACCTTACCTACTTTACCCTTGCGAAGTAACTCTAGGTAGGACTAGCATATAACATCAAAGCAGGATAGGAAATTAGGATAACCTCCGCAAGTGGGACATTTGCTCGACACACACTTCATCTTAAGAAACATTGTGATTACTGTTTTTTTTTTGTTTTGTTTTGTTTTTTTGGAAAAATTGAAAAATTATAACCAAGAGCACGTTTACCTTGACTACAGCTAATGTTGCTGTGGAGTTGTGAGCCAGATTTTGGAGCACGAGCAGCGGAGACATCAGGTTTCCACGATCGATATTTGACTTGTGATTAAGGAATTATCCAACTTATCTACCAACAGTGGTGCACATCGCATTTTTTTTTGGGAGGAAGACGTTTTTACTCAAGCAAGTTGTCATGCCATTGATACACAAAGAATCTTTAGCCTTATTCTGCCACGTTACTTTTCACCAAATACTACATCGCTGCTAATCTCCAAACTTTCAAAAAGTTGATTTTTCAACTTTGTTGCGATCTTTGAAGTTCTTTGTGGATTTGTACACAAATATCCCTAAGGGAACACCCTAATGTGTATCAGAATGTCCCCTAAGAGAACTGTCTCTTTACTAGATGCCCCCATTGACGAAGACGTCCCTGGCCTACCGGAAGATGATACCTTAAGGGAGATGTCCTTCTGTGGGTGCTGAATTAGACCCAACATTAGGCAGCGTCCTCACTACGCCGGAGAAATTTGAAAACGCAACTTGTTTCTACGGTTAGACCTACCGTCCACACTAATCCGTCACGAAAACAGAGCTTTTCGAAAACGCTCTTTAAACCGGAGGAATTTGAAAACGTCGGCTTTTCGTTTTCGTGTGGACGGAAAGCATTTTGAAAACGGAGCTTTTCGAAAACGATGACGTCACGATAACCACGTGATTTCCCTGCCCGAGTTTTCCTCAAACACAAATTCAAAATGACCGCTGACTGTTGCGTTTTTAAACTCCTCCGGCGTAGTGTGGACTGAAAACATTGAATGCGTTTTTCTTTTAGAGTGAAACCTCCGTTTTCAAATTCCTGCGGCGTAGTGTGGACGGAGCTTTAATCAATTTGAATCGCTTGACTGAATTACTATCGCCTGCTTGTTAATTAGCAAAGGATATGAGAGAGCACTTCCATAATCTGAGACTTGCAATCTGTTTCCCGCCGGGCAAAGTACGACAGAGCTTGCACCCATAAGCTTGCATCTAAAGTGCTGCAAGGAACATTGAAACGATTTCAGAAGACGACTTTCTAAAACTTAACACCTGCTAACTTAAGACAGCATTCAGTCACAACCCTTTAAATACACTTCTTCGTACTGATTTCGATTTCTACCTATTTACGCACGATAAAATGAAGAGAGAATAGTGGTAGATCAAGACGATAATCCCCTGGTTGCTGCATTTCTTTGTCTTCGCTGTAGATGTTGGTGATTTATAGTAATTTTACCTTGATGGCTTGATAGAGCGGTTTTCAATCGAGTGTCGTGAAACCAAAACCAAACCAATTACTTACCAATTAGACTACTCGGCCAATCTTGAACCGTAGTAAAACCAAAACCAAAACCAAAGTAATTGCCTGATTACTTTCGAGTCAATTGAAACCCGCTCTAGTATCTTCCTATATAACTTATTTCATAAAACTAAAGTAATAGTATTAATTTCCAATCCTCTCTCAACAAGTAATGATCACCTATCATATAGATTTGGCATATCACCGTAACAATTCGCCAAACGCCGTAAAATTTTAGCTACAATCCTGACCAAAAGTCTTTGGGACACTTGACAAAATGCCAACTGGTGACGCATTAGTTTGAAGTGGGAAGTCATTATTCAATTTTCCGAGTACCCCCACCCCCTGGGGGTGGGGAGGGGGAGGTGAACAGAAAGACCATATGTTGGCAAAAGCGTTAAGTGTCCTAAGACTTTTGGCCAGGATTGTACAATGGTATTGTCAAGACTTGGGAGGCGCTCTTAAGGCCACGTTGACTATCGAAATTCATACGAAAATTCTCTGCAAATTATCTGTTGATATATGGTAATGCTGTGCAATGCTTCCTCACCCATATTTCTTGCATGTGTCAATCACGTGACTGTACTCATTCTGTTCCATGTGATAATGAAGTATCTGTTGGTAACTGTTAAAATTATGAAGAAGAAAAACGAATCTATGAGACCTTAAGGATGCACTTCCTCACCACATTATGTAATGCTATTTTAAAGTATTTTGTTACGTTAGGTCACGAGAATTTTAATAGCTCGGTTACGAACTGTTGTTACGTGAGGTCACGCAAGTGAAGGACATTCAGTCACGCTAGGCTTCTTGTTTTGGGGGCTTCTGTATCGCTAAGTCCTTCCATTTTAAGAGCTTCTGCCACGTATGGTCAAGCACTCTCAGCTACAAACTTGCCTGGAAGTTGTACAAATTAAATAGAGATTCTAAAGAAATAAAACGAATGAGGGGAAAGAAAAATTTCCATAGTGAAAAAAAAAAAAACATGATAAACACTCCACGTGAGAACGTCACGGATATCAGGGAGCGTCGTTGTACAGCAACGTCCCTGAAATAATACCCAGAATCACCCGCGGGAACAGTTAGCTCTACTGAAGGAACGAGATACTGAACATAACATACTATATGTACAGCTTCTTGATCAGCAAGTTCAAGGACTGATGCATGAAGCTTTCCAAACTCGCTGCAACGGTAAATTAACGTTTCTCAACTATTTCGACTTGATAATCAATTACATTAGGCGTTTCCATTGCCCATTTCCTTAGAAACGTATTTTGTCGCATCACACTGTGTACTCACAGTTTAGCCTTTTCATACAGATACAGGATGCCTGCCTTGAAATGGTGCATCTGCGCTAGCACTAGGGCGTGGTCAATGTCATAACGTGCCTGAAAACAGATCAACATAACAATTTGTAATACATGTATTTAGCCAAGCCTAAAAGCGGAGCTCCTCATTACAGGTAAATCTGGATTGAGCCTGTGATCCAATCGAAAACCAGTAACTGGGCAGCAGTCAACTTCGAAAAAACACAAGATCTCGATGAGCTCTTAACCTGAGCCCAAGATAGGGTCATGTGATACTGGTAAGCGGATACCTTGTTTTGACAGGTGTCAATTGGCCGTAACATGGATGTCCAACATCAAAGATGTAGCTCCGATATTATGACTTTATAGTATTTTTACAGGGCACTTAGGCCAGGAACATAAGCAGCATACAGTCACATACAAATTTCCTCCCTTGGTCACATGATTATACTTCCCNGCTGCAACGGTAAATTAACGTTTCTCAACTATTTCGACTTGATAATCAATTACATTAGGCGTTTCCATTGCCCATTTCCTTAGAAACGTATTTTGTCGCATCACACTGTCTACTCACAGTTTAGCCTTTTCATACAGATACAGGATGCCTGCCTTGAAATGATGCATCTGTGCTAGCACTAGGGCGTGGTCAATGTCATAACGTGCCTGAAAACAGATCAACATAACAATTCGTAATGCATATATTTAGCCAAGCCAAAAAGCGGAGCTCCTGATTACAGGTAAATCTGGATTAAGCCTGCGATCCAATCGAAAACCAGTACCTGGGCAGCAGTCAACTTCGAAAAAACACGTGACTACGATGAGCTCTTAACCTGAGCCCAAGATATGGTCATGTGATACTGGTCAGCGGATACCTTGTTTTGACAGGTGTCAATCGGCCGTAACATGGATGTCCAACATCAAAGATGTAGCTCCGCTATTATGACTCTATAGCATTTCTACAGGGNCGGATACCTTGTTTTGACAGGTGTCAATCGGCCGTAACATGGATGTCCAACATCAAAGATGTAGCTCCGCTATTATGACTCTATAGCATTTCTACAGGGCACTTAGGCCAGGAACATAAGTAGCATACAGTCACATACAAATTTCCTCCCTTGGTCACATAATTATACTTCCCCGCACCTAGTCCCGGATGGCTACCCAAACACTTCAAATTCCGAGAGAATAACGCAGAGTCAACATGTGGCCTTTGCTGTAACCTCAGACGAGCTGTATCACGGAAGGCACACGTTCAAAACACCTGGCTTGTCGTTCAATGGGAATTTAAATTGTTACCTCCACATTATATTAAGTGTAAATTCTGGGAGAGACGTATACTCGGAAAAAATCCGAGTCCGAGTATACGTTTCTCCCAGAATTTAAACTTAATATCATGTTGTTGTTGTTTCTCCGTTAGTATACCTCCACATTTCTCAGTAAATCAAGCGCTTTACGCTCGTGCTCCACTTGTGCCTGTAACAGAAAGAAGTCAATGCAGACGAGATGATTTTGACATTTTCAAGTAAGCTTTGTTTCAACAAGAATTTATTTCGTTTCACTCACAAACTACTGTAACCTATTCGTGGACAATTCGTACGCTAAACGAGGTTCTTCTAAGGTACGAAACCCTGTTTCTGTAACATCACAAGATTTTCCACGCTCGCATACATTTTGCCCTCATTTTTCTTTCACATATATTGTTTCTTTATTTCTCTACAAGCTTCTTTTTGTCAGATATGTTTTTGACTAACATTTCAAGGAGTCTAACATTGGGAATTACAATTTGCCACCGATGTTACATTACAAAGCAAGACTCACTGAAAGTGGAGATTTCTGGTAAAATTTAGAGAAGCAAAGTCTATCTTTTCACTCAGTGATACGGACGAAGGAAAAGACATTAGTGGTTATGTGACATGATGTTATTGCGTGACAATACGTCACAGTACCTCTACATTCTTCTGGCGAGCAGCATCATTAAGATAGAGCTCAAGAAGTGTGTTGTACACAAGGTTGGACGAATGAGGCTGCACCTGTGACCAGAAAGAAACACAGAGAGTGTGAATCGTTTGTCTGATGCCTAACCAACGAGAAAGAATGAGGAGAGAAAATCATATATTTTTGAGGGGTGGGGAGGGGAGGGGTTGGGCAATAGGTCATATTCGTATTCTCGGTATTGGACTGGCACTAGTTTGCAGTAGAGGCTCATGTGGGGTAACATCATTAAAAAGCGATAAATATCATTTGCATTTGAAAACACTCCCTGCATTAGCCTCAGTTTCAAGCTAGTTCCAATCCGATACCAAGAATACGAATATGGTCTATATTTTTAGCAAGAATTTTTTTCAGCGTCAGATCAGCCAAGAATTTTTTTGGGGGTGATTTCCTTGATATTGTTTGTTTACGTGACTCGCTCAGCATGAGTTTATGGTTGGTTTTTCTTAGGCAGAACGAAGTGTTAAGTAACTACCTGCCACGAGTGATGAACCATGAAATAAAACACTTTGAAAGTATTCGTTACCTGCACCATGTGCTCAAGAAACTCAATCAACTTTGCCTTCTGATGTACAAAGATGTGGATGAACTCTTCCGCGCGAGCCTTGTAAATCGTCCTGTCCACATCCGAAGCTGGATCTGAAACAAGCGCATAAATTATGTTAGCATGTTATATCATAATTTAAGATACTTAAAGGGGAGGTATGGTGATGAAACATATTCGATATGTTCACGAACAACAGGCGCCGGCGCAGAAGCAATATCTGCTTCGGGAGCAACATGTTTCTGGTCACAGAGCGGTTTTCAAACGTAATTGGATTTGCATTACTACGCTGGATTGAAAAATTCACACCACGTTTTCATCCAATCAGAAGTAAATACAAAACCAATCGTGGCTCGCTCCTACACGTTTTCCCGCGCGTTACGTCGGCTACATATATTTACTTCGAGTTTTGATTGGTTCGTTGGATTGTCTTTGTCGTTTGTGATTGGTAGAGTCATTACTTTGGGTTGGTTTTACGACACTCAAATGAGAACCGCTCTCGTAATAATAACGTTGACCAGAACGGCAAGAAGACTCGTCCCAGGCCCCACTTCTCCCCTAAGCCTCCTCCTTGACTCGCCCCAGTTCTCCTGTTCCTTTACACTGATCCACATCGTTTGCCAAGAGTCAAATTCCTGTCAGGTTGCCATAACAAGTCGCCAGCATCATTTTAAACACTACAGTGAGAGTTAAGTGTTTAGCGCAAAACACAACAAAATCTAAATTCACTTTTTTAAACGTAAAAGACCTCACGTCCTCAATATCCAACTACATGCACTTAAATTTTGCAGTTGGCTTTATCTACACCTGTCAACACACATCCCGTCACTATGCAGTAATGGATGTAAAACCAAACTCATGCATCAAGGAAACAAATGATGAACGAATGAATGGAGAAGTGAAGAACAATGTAGACCAGTGTGACACTAAGGTGTGATGTTATGAGAGGAACGAGGGAAACTGGGGACTACAGATGTGACGTAAGACGAATGACATGGTGTTTCAGATCGTGATATGCGACATTGTCACGAGAATGAACGGTTAAACAGTGCCTTGGTGTTAAACTAGTCAATACTTGTGGCCGAGATTGACGTTTAACTGAAAGATCTTTGCATGTTAGCGCTAGTACGACTGTAAATCAAACTAGGTCTGCGCGGCGGGATTAGGCGGGCACTCGAACACCAAGGTCGTGTTCTATTGAGATCAACAATTTCAATCGCAACCAGTTTGGGTTGATATGGTTGACGTTTCTCAACAGAACACTTTTCCAACCGTTTTCGGNAACAGCACTCTAATATACACCTTTACAAGGGTTTCATTACGAGCTCGGCACCAGGCAAATTGACCAGCTGTCAGGATATTTTGGTTTGACCTTCTAGAAGAAATTTAAATCTAGTTCCAAAAGTTTTGCTCGCCTGCGAAAACCAGTTGCCCTCTTGCTGAAAACATTAATGAAACACCTTCCTTTTCAATACGCTTCGGCAGCCTATTAGGTGAGTGTGGTTAAGGCATGGTTCACATAGATGGAACGAGCCTGATAAGCTGCAAAACCTACCAGGTATTTTTAACAGGGCCTAGGTATTTAACATACCTATATACCCTAAGTATATAGTGTGATCATCTGAGTGAAGGTAGTTCTGAAAAGAACTGTTGTTGATGACTGATGTTTCATCACCAAAAGCTGAAGTCACCAAAGTTTGTCAGTGGATGGAGTTATAAGTCTGGTCTGCTGAAACTGATTACTGTGTACAAACCTGAAGATATGCTGTAAGATTGTGAATTCTCTGAGCATCCAAGAACTGGAAAAGGACAACAACAACAACAAAATAAATTATTTGGAATCACTTTCATCATAAAGTCACTTTACAAATATCACAAGTAGTGTACATCCTTAATTGCTTAAGCTTTCATACGATAACATTACTCATTCATTATATGTCTAGGAAAATTGCACACTCACATGTCAATTTGCACTGCAGTACAAATTAAGAATTTATGATAAATTGGCCTGCTCTCAGCCAATCACAACGAAGTCATTTTCTCAGTTGTATAATTAACCGATTAATCTCTTTGGATGTTAATTCTTTTGCTTCATCATTATACCGACCAATTCCGGGTTATCAAAGTACAGCTTTTAGCAATTGCTTTCTGACAGGGCTGGGAGTTTGTAAATAAAGTAATGTACAGAGCACATCGTACAGTACCTTGCGAATGACATAAGAAGGTTCCAGGTGACCAATGGTTTTTATGTATTGCTTTATTGCTCCATCATGATCCCCCTTGCTGAAAAAAATAACAACAAACACTAATTACTCTCAAAGCCAAGACACAAAACTCTGTAGAGCTCTACTAAAGAAACAACATTATGGCTGATATTTGTGATTTAATGAGAAGGGCCAAGAGCTTGCAATACAAAGAGACAAAATGCCAAAAATGTTGAAATCAAAGTAATATTGACCACAAGAAATAAACAACTTTTAGTTCTGTTACAATTTTTGCCAAATTAAAAGGGAGGCCAGAATCTTTATCACACCTGCCCAGAAATGAAAATTTCTACAATAACGCGATTACATTTTTTTTTAATTTGTTAGCAAAACGTTTTTCTCCAAAATCCCAGTAATGGTCCGACAAGCAAATACCTACTCAACAATTCAAGCATTTGCAGATTTGTCACCTGTACAAGTGATCTCCATATTGTGTAAAGATGTCAATCAGTCCATCAGAATAGTGCTGACTTTTTGCCAAACTTGAAAAAGATAGGGAAGAGACCACATGCTTAAAAACTTCAACATTTTTGTAAACATATCTTGACCAGTTAGAAAAAGTGAATTTTTCCAGGCATTTAAAGGCAAAAGTTAGTCACCTGTGGCACCTGGGCAATATTAGAGAGCACAGCCCTGCATTTATGCTTCACGAGTTTGAAAATGGTGCAACTGCTAGTAAGAATTCATTCTTATTGTTATCCATAATAAACACTTGTACACAGTATTTTACCTAGACTGGCAAATGATTAGTCTACAAAAGGTTAATGGGCGACAATCTGCAGCAATTTATCACTTATGCTCTTAAAGTTTGAGAAAAGGAACTAGTCAGAGAAAGTATTATCTTGCAGGCTGCAACTATTTAGGGTAAAGAGTTGAAGTATTGTAAGTATTGTGTATCTACAACTCCATAGAAACACTGAACTAGCACATGCTCTTGACATAATGATGGCGCGAGCAAAGATAATTTAAATTGTGATGATCAAAGTAAACAAGTTGCTGTTTTTTTTTTTTGCCATGGAATTTCCTAAAAGAAATACAAAACATGTTCTCCGTGCTTCGACCAAGTTATAAAAACACTTGTGAATGTTTGGGAGAACTCAAAAAAGCTGAAGAAACACTAGTCGCCTGTGGCTTGTGTTCCCTCAGCATTTCTCGTTCTCCCAAACTTCCACTCATGTTTCTATAACTCAATAGAAACCCAGTCACGTTTTCTATTTCTTAAATAATTAAATGAATTACTCCTAAAATCATCGCTTTCAAGTTTGTTATGTAGATTATATTTGTTTTTACTATCTTTCATAATTTCTTCTCTGAACCCCTAACTTGATGTTGTTAATTCCGAAATTCTACATTACATTTAAAAAAACCAAGCTGAACTATACTGTCATAATTATTTCCATACAACAAGAAATTAACAGTAGATGTTATAAACTTCTTGAAAAATAACTTCCACAATACCTGATAGCCATTGCATAAAGATTTTTCTTGAAAAGAATTTCTAATTTAGTTTGTGTATCTTTCTCTTCCAACTGAAAAATCTGAAAACAAGAAATACTTTATTAAGATCTAAAAGGTGAGTGGTATGGTTAAGTCTGAATACAAGCCAAGTGTCCGATCAGGCTGGGGCTTATCCTGGTTTCTGTATCATGAAGCAACTAGGAATATTTCTACTTCCCCATGGATGGGATTTGCCGGTACCCATTTATACACTTGGGTGGAGAGAGTCACTGTAAGGGTAAAGTGTCTTGACCAAGAACACAACACAATATCTCTGGCCAGGGCTCGAGCCCAGACCGCTCGATCTGGAGACGATCACACAAACTCTGAAACCACAGGGCCTCCACAAGTCTGTTAATTACAACTCAGTAATTTGTTGATGCCTCTGGATAGCTTGACTCATTAGACTTTGACAAATGAGGTCTGCGTCATTGAATGTAAATTTATAAAAGAAAATGAACTGAAGGGATAAAGAGGCAGGGCCAGGGCACCTGGACTGCTTGACCCAGAGATGAGTGCACAAGTGCCTCCACAACTTAAGTTCTTCCTCCACTCTACCTTTCTTGTTTGTTACCATTTCATTTGCCAACAATTCACTGCTGTAGCATCCATTAATAACTAGGCAAGGCAAAGTATTTCATATCATATTAAAGAGAAAGAAGTATCACAAGAAAGATGGGGAAAGAAAACATTGAGAAAAATTATAGTAATTCAAATCACCTTATTTTCCATTGTGATTACAAATAAGCTGCCCCATTCACATATGACATCAATGACACCCTGGAAGGTCCCGGTAAAAGCTGAAAAAATAAAAAATAAATAAATAAATAAATAAATAGAGAAATAAAAAATAACAGAGTAAAGATAATATTATGATCTACAATAATATTATTACTGTGATTTGTTTGGCTTGCNAGATAAATAAAAAATAACAGAGTAACGATAATATTACGATCTACAATAATATTATTATTGTAGTTTGTTTGGCTTTGTCACACGTGTAGAGTTGATATTTATTAACTACAGTCCAACTTTGACTTGCGACCTGACTCCCCCCACCCCCCCAAAGAAAAATACACCAGCTTTAGCTCTGACCACTGTTGTGAAACCTGGTTTAACTTCTCCCTCAAACTCTGTATAAAAAGGCTGAGTGTGGAAGCAATAGCTCCCACAAGCAGCTCTGACCTCAAGTGACCATATAAAGACCACATAAATTTTTCTTCGGTGAAAAAAAAAAAATTATGTAACCTGTTTTGAAACTAAAACCCCACAAACCTATTTATCAACCCAAATCCTATAAAATGTACTATTATTTCACAAGGATATCACTGCTACATGTACTAACAGTAATCCTTACCAATAAACTTGTTTTGAATATCATAAACAGTTACCACATTGACATTCCTTTGTTGAGACGTTCCCCTGCAAACAAGATGTCAGAACATGTTGAAGTAAAAATATGAGGTAAAATATCCTTATGGACACATATACAGTAACTCAGGAACATTAATAAGTTAACATGAATTTTCCAAAGAATCTTTGTATTGAATTCCTTACCCTACTGATGGCCTCTGAATTTGTTTGTTGTCCTGACTAACGACAACCAAATAACCCCGCCACCATGTTACCATTTGCTTTTCACCTATGAAAGCACATTTAATATTATCAGCAACTGATCAAAACCTAATATTTTTGAAAAGAAAAAATTTCATGATCAATAATAATTATTATTGTCTATGTGTTTTGAAAAAATATTTCCATTGTTCTTATAATATGTAATTTGATTTATTCAAAACATACCCATTCTTCACTCAATTTAAAATAATATCTAATCAGTTCATACATTATCATGTTCTCCTCCCCAACTGTCAAATGGGGCCTTAGTATATATCTTTGTGTGGTCAAAATAACAAATGAACTTAATTGATCTTAATTACATTGTATGAATATCAAATAAATGTCATTTTATTAAGTATTGTTTTGTTGAAAGAAAAGTTAATATAAATCAAAATAATTCTGTGCAATGCAAATTAATGCTTAACTTAGTACCTTGGTGCTAAATGTGCACATGCAAATAAAATGCTTCAGAGAACTACATGCAAATTTGTATTACATTTTAGGTTGTTCAGCTAGAGTTAATTACATTTTATTTTATAATACTTTATTACAGTATGAATGTAATCAAGGTTAATTTACGTGATATAATAATCTTGCGCTTAAGACAAACAGACTAGTACATTCAAAACTAAATCATAAAAGATTCTGAGAAGAGGCCAGTAATGTTACTAAGATCCTGCTGTTGGTCAATTTCTCTGGATATATAGAGCTAATATCACTTTGCTAGAATACAAAGACTTGCTGTGACATTATGGTTAAAAGAGCTGAAAAGCTAACTGGGCCAGCTTTGTGTTTTCTTAGCTGCTTCCCTTGAGGAGGCCTTGCTGTACAATACCTTCAAATGCTAAACATGGACCTCTCCCATCAATCTGATAGAAGTATAAAGCCTGCAATATAGAAACAGATCAAGTTGCATACATTATCGCATTATGTGATTTCTCAAACACAAAGTGTTAAACAACCACATAATTATGGAACAATTTTTTCATGTCAAAACATTTCATTCTGCTAAAAATTAGTTCAATCCTGCCAAAAAAAATGAAAATCAGCCCAAACAGAGATATACGCCCTCTTTGTACGAAATCAAACCTAATCAAAGCTATGACCTGCTTTGTACAAAATCAACAAAAAATTACAGATAGAACAATGTTTTTCATGTCAAAACAAGTCAGTCTGCCAAAAATTAGCTTGATCCAGCAAAAATATGAAAATCAGCCCAAATAGCAAGACATGCCCTTTCTGTACAAAATCCTTCAACTATTTCTTAATTATCAGTTACTGTAATCTCTTTGGAAAGAAGTATCCCATCCCAACACCCCATCTGACACTGTAACGCATCAAAGGCTGACCTCTTTCCGAGCCACTATAAACTGATTTTCTTGTGAAGCATCACTCATAACCGAGCAACGCATTTCACAGCCGTGAGCATCTAACACTTCCTGTAAAGCAATTGAAAAACAATTCCATAATAATTATTGTATACAACATTGTTCAGACTTCAACAAATACACAAGAATACAAATTGAGAATTTCCTTTAATTTCAGCAGAACTGTCTGCCAGATGTCTTAGTTCAGGGGCTTCATTAGCGTTTTCAGTAAGAGGGCAACTGGTTTTCACTAGCCTGTGTACATCTGCCCCCTCCCCTAAAAAAAAATTGGGGAGAGAGATTCACACTCAGGCGGGCAAAACGTTTGGATGGTCAAACCAGGCTGGTAAAATCATCCTCACAGCTGAAAAGATCATGCGGACAAGCTGTTAACTTCAATGTCTTCATTCTAGGGATGTATGTGAATTTGGCAGTACCAGCTGTTTGTTTAGCTGTTTTTTCAGGTAGCACTATGGCGATTTGAAAATATTTCCAAGGAGTGTCAAAAATTGATGACAAAAAGGAGAATAAAACAGTAAAATCCCAAGGAGGCCTCGCATAGTGGACCAGAAGAAGAAAGCTCAAATGGCAAGCTGGGCATCCGTGATTTCAAGATACCGAAAAAATGAATGGTTCGTGAATCATTACGGAGATTTTTTGCAGGGGAGGGAGGCATCTTTAACTTCTGGGCAAGTAAAAATTAAACAGGGTAAGTGCATTTTGAAAGTCACTGGCCTGAATGGCGAGTACTGTCAAAATTTAGTTTCCAACACTGCAGAAACTATTTGAATCTTGAAGGTTCGAGCTTGTATACCATATTTTGCATGATGTTGCTCCTGACCAGTTTGCTTGAAAATGCTTACTGATGCTAGTACATGGCTACAAATGAAGAATGATATTCGGATACTTACTCGGCGATCTTTTGCAGAGGTGTTGTATGCAAGAACTGTTTCAGTTGTCACAACAAACAGAACAACACTGTCGCTGGTTTGCTTAAAAGCAAGTCCTGTAGACAAGATTGAAGAACATTATAAAGGTTAAGTCTGTGTCGGGGCAAGTAGTCTCTGGGGCATTAAGCAGTAACTTATAGTGATTCCACAGCAAGGACAGTCAGATATCCTCTCAAAGCTACTGCCTTGATGTTTACTAGTCTATTGATATTAATTCTTTTGAAACTAACTTTACACCTAAGTAACATCAATCAGTGATAACAATTAGCAGCAAAATAAGTAAATAAAATGCTTGGCAATTATCTAGTATCCTTTTTTAAATCCAAAGTTTAAATTTAATAGCAAAAAGCTGCAAATAAAAAGTTTTAAAATATGTAGAAAAAATTAGCATTAATAAATTATGCAAGAACAACCTGAAGTTTGCATTTTGTAAACAGGAAATTAAGCTTCTATTTTCAGGAAAAGTTTCTACTGAGAATTTCATTCACAGAAACAAAAGTACAACAGGGAAAGAGTAACTTAACATGAGTTCTTTTAATATTATTATATTATTAGGTTGAAACCTTTAATTACATGTACTTATCATACAAGTTTATAACTACCATTTAGTTTGTATGGTGTGAACCAACCAATGACTTTTGCCAAACTTTACACAAGTCCTCCAGCCAATACCATCACGGCTAAAGCCCTATTTAGACTGACAAACACTATTCACTCTGAAGATGACTTCCGCTCAAGTTGTCGAAACTTCAGTCATCAACAACAGTTCTTTTCAGAACCACGCTCACCCAGACAATCACACTATATGAACTACAGTACTGATACTCCTTGGGGCAAAACACTATTTTTACTAAATTACAATACCATTATAAATATAGAAGAAACCTTGCTATACCTGTAACTGGATGTTTGTCATGATGTATGATCCTCTGCTTTGTGTGCCTGAAAAAACAGTATGAGACCTGTATAGTTGTATACACTTGTCTAGTGCTTCAAAGTCACAGAACACACTCATTCACTCACTCACTCACTTTCTTACCTGTCTCTTGTGATATCTCCTTTATACACAAGAACACTTCCATCTGCAAAACCAACAGCCATCTGTGTCAGGTTCTCCATCAGTGCCAGACATGACACCTGTCAATCACATCAACAAAACCATTGACAGAAAGTCCTTTAATTCTGACAACTCGTAGACAAAAATTATTTATTATTTCTTTCTTCATCCAAACTGCTTAGTGTTTACAAATGCCAACAGTAGAGAACTATATAAAATATGATCATTATTAAATAATGTCTTCTTTCTGAGTGGCATACCGTAGTTTATTGTTTATAAGGTACACTGTTTTTTCGAAGAAGGTCCCTACAATGTGTTCCAATGGAAAATTATTGTCCATGTCAAGACTGCAATCACACAAGCTGGCCAAAAGGCATATTAAAATCCTAGAAATACACTGCAAAAAGACTTCAGACACTTCTATCAAGACTGATGAGAAGATTGGCAGGTTGCTGATAACAGGTAACAGCATATATACACATGTGCTACATGTATAACTTAACATACCGGAACTGGTTTGTTTCCTGGGATCAATCGTTGCATACAGCAACAAACTGGATTTCCATATTTGTCAATCTAAAGTAAAATGTACATGTATTGCTTAATACATGTATATCATTATATTTTTTTAAACACAAAAAAATTCCACACTGAAGACATCTGTACACTACATAGAGGACAACATGGAATTTTTTCATCAAACCTAAGGTGTCTCTCTCGCATACGTTATATATTAGGCTACACAAAGGAAAAGAATTGTTTCATCACTGAATAGAAGTACATGTATAAACATTATAAAGTTCACTCAGGCTCACTGACCATGCCAGCAGCAGGCCGACAACCCTGAGATTCAGTGTCTCAGGTAGCTCAAGAAAACAAATTTACCATGATCCATGCAAGAGTAGAAGACTTATGATATGAAGGGTACATGTACACTGCAACTCATCTACAAGTGAGCATATGGCAGCTATGAAAAATAATGCTGTGACTACAGAAAAATACCTTGTCAAGATTCCATACTCTAATGATAGGGTCAATACCATCCACTTCATCTTCCTGATGTCATAAAGTTAACATGAAGTAAGATAACATACCAAGTCCAAATTCAATAGTAGACATGTTGAGTAAAAACAGTATCCTATGAAAGTGTTGCTGAAAGTACTGCTCAATAGCTTTCATTAGAATGGTCGTGCACCACACATTACGGTTTCATCCACGGAGTTGAAATTTAGAGACTCCCCATACTTAACATTTAAAATTAAACAATACCCCACACTAGAGGGGGGGTTTANCACATGTGCTACATGTATAACTTAACATACCGGAACTGGTTTGTTTCCTGGGATCAATCGTTGCATACAGCAACAAACTGGATTTCCATATTTGTCAATCTAAAGTAAAATGTACATGTACTGCTTAATACATGTATAACATAATGATTATATTTTTTAAACAAAAACAAAATTCCATACTGAAGACATCTGTACACTGCACAGAGGTCAACATGGAATTTTTTCGTCAAACCTAAGGTGTCTCTCTCATATACCGGTACATTATGTATTAGGCTACACAAAGACAAAGAATTGTTTCATTACTGAATAGGGGTACATGTATAAACATTATAAAGTTCACTCAGGCTCACTGACCATGCCAGCAGCAGGCTGACAACCCTGATATTCAGTGTACCTCAGGTAGCTCGAGAAAACAAATTTACCATGATCCATGCAAGAGTAGAATATGAAGGGTACATGTACACTGCAACTCATCTACAAGTGAGTATATGGCAGCTATGAAAAATAATGCTGTGACTACAGAAAAATACCTTGTCAAGATTCCATACTCTAATGATAGGGTCAATACCATCCACTTCATCTTCCTGATGTCATAAAGTTAACATGAAGTAAGATAACATACCAAGTCCAAATTCAATAGTAGACATGTTGAGTAAAAACAGTATCCTATGAAAGTGTTGCTGAAAGTACTGCTCAATAGCTTTCATTAGAATGGTCGTGCACCACACATTACGGTTTCATCCACGGAGTTGAAATTTAGAGACTCCCCATACTTAACATTTAAAATTAAACAATACCCCACACTAGAGGGGGGGTTTATTTAATAAGGGCCGGGCACTGGGCAAATTGACCGGCTGTGAGGATAATTTTGCCCAGCTGGTTTGACCATCCAGCAGAAAGTTTTCCTTACAAAGAAGTTTGAACAGTTCTACTAGTTTTGCCTGCCTGTGAAAACCAGTTGCCCTTCTGCTGAAAATTTTAATGAAACCCTTGACTTGGGTTTCATATAGAGGGTCTTAAAAGATATTAACCACTTCATGCGGCAAGATAAACAGTACAAAATGGTCACACACTTGGGCTTCGCAAGAAATATTACAAGGGACAACATGTTAGAAATTAAGAAATTAATGAACATATTATAATTACTTACTCCAACGGTGAATAAAATATTCTGCTGTTTCAGTTGATAGAAATGTGACACACGCATTTCATAGGCCTGGAAGGATGTGATAGTCAAATCACGGCCCAGGAAGTGAACAAATCCAGCTGAATCTGTAAAATATTATCAATAAAATCATGTGTGACAAATTACTCCATAATTTTGGTGCAAAATTTCAGCAACTTATAATATTCTTCACAAGTGAAATTACAAAATTGCCATGCCAACGTCTGGCATGAAATTTCTCGAGACAATAAACAAGTCAAAAATCCATGATTGTAAGCAAATTTGTCACTCATGATATCAAAAGGTTTATCAAATGGCATATATGAGAAATTAGGAAATAATTTCAGTCGCGTTTTGTCAAAATTCTAATAATTGGAAAACTATTAGCATTTTGACAAAATGTGCGAGAGATCATTTCCTTATTTTACTCATCACTATTTGATCACCCATACATACATTATTTTTACATAACATAACTGCATGTAGTTACCCAAGCATCACTAGCATTTTCCTTTGAGAGCCCGAGACGTTTTGACTTCTTCAATTGCAAGACCAAGACTTCAATTGAAAGTGTTTTAAATGCGAGCTTGAGACATTCAGGTTCCAAGACATTGGAACGTCTTTTATAAAACAAATCAGTACTTTAAGACTTTCTCAGTCTTGCAAAAAATTGAGACTGTGAGACAGCTTTGTGAAAAAATTGAGACTATGAGACTCACATAACTGCTAAAAAAACCAAGACTGTTAGACCCATAAAATTCAATGCAAATTTGTGAGACCCTTCATTTTTCAAGGACCATTTGTCACCTCTCTTTTAAATGCTGATTTGCAAGTTTGCATAAACAGAATTTCAGTAAATTATATAATGGAAGGAAAAAGAGGGCGGAGGAGTGGGAAAGAGAACATGCCCAGTAATTGAAGTGCCCCAACTAATTGCGACTGTCTGGGATTGTAGGTTTGAAAAAGGCAGAACAATGTTTTATCTTACCTCCAATAACTAACTGACCTCTTCCACTGGTACAGGCTGTAATATCAATACCCTACAAAGAACAAAAATAATCTTGTTAGGGGATTCATGAGAACTAAAACATCTTTAAAACAAAAGGAATTAGCTTTTAAAAAATCACTCTTGGTTTAAAGAATAATAATCCTTCCTGCAAAGTACTGCAAATTAACAAAAGCTTGATGAATTTCTCAACATAAAATAAAATACTTGTACGTTTGTACATTTAAGGTGATTTTTATACTGTACCCCCCTCCCTCCCAAATAATCAA